GGCCGTTCTGGAGGACTTGTGCGTAGGTGGTGAAGGCGGCCGATGGTTCGCCCTCCCCAGCTCCCGCGGCATACCTACGATCAGGTTGCCCAGGGGTTCTGACCAGTCCCCTATGTCCGTAGGCGCTCCGGTTGGTGAACATCTGCCCGAGGTTCGGAACAAGGCCGGGCATCAAGCCCGGGGGGGAAAGGCGAGTGGCTCCCGGCACGCGCACGCCGGGCGGGGTGGCCGGCGGCGGACGGGGTGGAGCACTCGCTGCAGCATCTAGCCCAGGGGGAGCTCCAGGTTGGCCGGGCTCTTGGCTGGCATCGGGCCTGCGCTCGGCGCCCAGCTTCAAGAGGCCGCTGGCGAGTGGCGGGCTCACACCTTCGTCTTTTTCGGTTCGAACCCGCTCCAGCGTTTTCTCCCACCTGTCGATGTGCACCTGGTACTTGGCCCGCTCTTCGGCTCCGCTGCTGCGCATGAGGCGCTGGGTGTACTTGATGAGGTGCTCCAGGACTACGGCGACATCTTCATCGTATCCTGCTGCCACGCTCTGCAGCGCCGAGGCGTCGTCCGACCCCTCCTCATGGGCCGCGAGGTACAGCCCCAGCACGGCCTCTCCGGTGCACTCCTCCTCGCGGGCCTTCCCTGCGGGGCTGCGGGAAGAGCGGCGGGGGGCTGAGGGAGCTGGGTCACCTTCCTCGCCCAGGCCCCACCCGACGCCGAAAGGGGGCTTGGGGGAGCTGCTGCGGTCAAGCCTCGCCCAGTGCTTCTTGAGCTGCGCGTCCATCTCGTCCGAGGTGGGCTGCGGCGCGCCATGGGCTTCGCCAGGAATACCCACCTGATGTCGGCGCACAAGCAAGTCCCCACGGGCCCGAAGCTGAGCCCACTGAGGGCGGCCGATCCTCTTGGTCTTCCCGCCCACGGGGGCCCCGCTCCAAGGGCGCAGCTTCTCCCGCATAGCGTTGCTCACGACGACGCCGTGCACGCCGATCCCCATCTCCTCAGCTCCGAGTGGAGGATGATGCAACAGCTCTTCGAGATAGCCGGCGGGGAGCCCCCCCTGGTCGCTAGCGACGGGAGCATACTCGATCCCCGCGGTCTTGAGGGTGAAGCAGACGTTCTCCTGGCCCTCTGCGGAGTGATCCTTGCAGCGCGGCTCCTCCACGTCTACCACGGTCATGCTGCCATCTCCAGTGGGCCCTCCTCCGGGTCTGGATTTCCCCCGGAATATGACCCACTGCGGGCCGGCGGCCCAATGCACCCGTACACGCAATACGAGGTAGTCCCCTTGCTCGGCCTCCTCGTCTGGGGCAGGGCTGGCATCCCGCGAAGGGGCGCCCTCGGAGAAGGCGACGCTTCGAACCGGACACCAACATGCGGACCTCGTGGTGAGGCTGATGCATCGCGTGGGTGTAGTCCAGGGGCTGCATGCCCGCGGTGGCTTTCGGGTCCTCGGACTCCGTCTGCGGGGGGGGTTGCAGTGCCGGGTGCGCCTTGCTCGCGCGCCCGTGGACTGCGACTGCGGACTGACGGCGCCTCAGGCCCAGACTCGAGAGGAACCCGCGGCCCTGGACTGCTGCAGCTGCCTGCACTGCTCTGCTTGCTTCCCCACCCAGGTGAAGAAGGCAGAGTGGCACGCCCTCTGCATTGCCGACTGCCTGACGAAAACAAGTCACTTGCGAACACTTGTCACGATACCGAGAGGCTCGGTAGACCTGGGCATGATGGGCGCAGAGGTGGGCGAAAGAGTTCCGCCTGTCGCTGGGTGGTGGGAGGTCCGACGCCTGTCCGTCCTCGAAGAGCAGGGTGGTCGGCTCGGCTTCCGCGGCGCCACGGCAACCGTCGGGGGCCAAGGGGCGGGCGCCGCCACGAAGTACGATGCCCACCCGAACGGCTTCGCATGGTTTGTCCTCGGCCTCCACCTCCGACTCTGATTCCTGATCTAGGACCTCTGCGATGCCCCCTGCAACGCCTGGCTCCGCAGCGCCTGCCTTGCGACGGCGGCGTCGCCGGCAGCAGAAAGAGCAACCGCAGGAGAGGATGCAGTAGAGGAACACGATGATCTTCCAAGTGCCTCTCCCCAGATCGGCGAAGGTCCGCCAAAGCAGGAAGATGCCGCGGCAGGAGGTGAACCTGGCGCGGGAGCCGATGTCCACAATCGCCTCGGAATCCAGCGCGGCGCATTCTTTGCAATGAACCTCCCCGGGTTGATCTCGACAGACCATGTTGCGGCACAGGTGGATGGAACGGCCCTCGAGCGACTCCAACTTCTGGCGAAGTGCGCGTGAACTCGCACCTTTCACGCCCAGGTAGTCTATCCAAAGGCCCCTCCGGTCGATCCTCTTGGGCTCCGCGAGGTCGATCTTCAGCCGGGCTACGTGGTCGTCGATCTTGACCAGCACGTCATTGGGTCGCCTCCCAGTTCCACGACCCTTCACCTTCTTGCTGTAATACTCGGTGGTCGTAGCTGGCCCGGTCTCTGGCCCCATCCAGTTGATCTGGGCAAGGGCGGGCGGAGCCGGCGGCAGGTACCTTTCGGCAGCTGCGTCGCCAGGCTCTCGCCGGCGGCACTTGGAGCACCGCGCCAGTAGACCAATCGGCCAGAGGGCAGCTGCACAGGGGGCCAGTAGAGCACGACAGATATGAGTAAGAAAGGCAAGCACCGCCAGGAAGGCCAAGAAGATGAACGTCCATGCCACGGCAGGCAAGGCGGCCCCGAAGACCGTCAGGCCCACCTTCTCGAGGGCATAGAAGAACCATCCGCCGTCCTTGGTCAGCCAGCCCGTCTCAGCATGGGTTGAGAAGGCGCTCCCGAGGCTGTCCAGCTTCTCGTAGGCAATCCCGCCCATGCCGCTCAGGCGCCAGGCCCAGGTGCCCTCGCGCAGGGGCTTCCATCCCAGCGCCCAGACGCCCCAGCCGCTCACCCAGGACCCCTCGCCACGCGGGTCGTCAGTGGGGTGGCTGCCGTTCTCGACTCCTCCGGCGGCACGGGCGGGAGGCGGGGGCGGCGCTCCCGGCGGCCCGCTGTCGGGCGGCGCCTGGGGGCTGCCTGCAACCTCACCCTCCTCTTCGTGCTCGCCGATCTCCATGCCGTACTCGGAGTCGTCGTAGCACGGCACGGTGTACCCGAACGGGACCTCCTGGGCCACGGCCGGGCGGCCCCATCCGGCGCGGGCAACAGCGGTGCTGAGCGGCCCGCGCCAGTCGTAGGCGGTCGCGCTGGCGGTCAGCGCGATCAGCCCGCGCGCAGGGCCTGCCAGCGCCGGGCGCCGGGCAGCCATGGCACGCACGCTTCCGGGCGCCGAGGGCGCCCAGACCTCCTGAGGTCGGCTCCAGGGCTTCGAGCCCCGAAGGCTTGAGCGGGAGAGAGGGAGAGAGAAGGGCAGGCAGAGGCAGGAGCAGGGAGAGGAGAAAACCCAAGCCGACTGGGGAGGGCGGGGTCCAACCGTTTAGGACAAACAATTACTCCGACGGAAGAACCCCGCATAAGAATCCTCTGGGCGAATCTGGAAAAAACCATCACCGTCGTCCTCGTGGTTGGTGAGGCGTCCTGGCTGTCTCTTCTGCGTATATTTCCTGTCGCCTTGGCGCGGGCCCCCCTTCCACTCCTTACGTTGTCCCCATCCTCGCCCCCCTGTTTGTTCCGCGCCCCGCCACCTCCTCCCCTTCCTGTTGCATGAGCGCGCATGTCGATGTTCCTCGGCGCCGTCGCCGCCACGGCCAGCACAGGCGCGTTCTCTACTGGTCACGTCGCGCAGCCGTTGGGACAACCCCGCGGGCCAGGCTGTCGGGACAACCCCGCGAGCCGTTGGCGCGCAAGACCAAGCCGTTGGGACAACCCCGCGGGCTTCGAGCGAGGCGCAGCCGCGCTCAGGCGGAAGGCAGCACGAAGCCCAGCTCTGCCGCGAGCTGCTTCGCCTCCGCCCTGGACAAAACCGCCTGAGACTTCCTCCATATTCAGGCTTGAGGAGCCCAAAAGTGACGACAGTTACAGGATTCCGATGACCCGCTCGGATTACCAACATGATCTGCGGGCCCCATAGGGAGGGAGCTCCCGCCTGAGACTTCCTCCACAATTCACTCACAGACGAGGCTCCCGCCTGAGACTTCCTCCAAATTCAAGCTTGACGAGCCCAAAAGTGACGACAGTTACAAGGTTCCGATGACCCGCTCGGATTACCAACATGATTTGCGGGCCCCATCGGGAGGGGGCTCCCGCCTGAGCCTTCCTCAGAATTCACTCGCAGACGAGGCTCCCGCCTGAGACCTCCTCCAAATTCAGGCTTGAGGAGCCCAAAAGTGAGGACAATTACAGGATTCCGATGACCCGCTCGGATTACCAACATGATCTGCGGGCCCCATAGGGAGGGAGCTCCCGCCTGAGACTTCCTCCCAATTCACTCACAGACGAGGCTCCCGCCTGAGACTTCCTCCATTTTCAGGCCTGGGGAGCTCAAAAGTGACGACAGTTACAGGATTCCGATGACCCGCTCGGATTACCAACATGATCTGCGGGCCCCATCGGGAGGGGGCTCCCGCCTGAGACTTCCTCCCAATTCACTCACAGACGAGGCTCCCGCCTGAGACTTCCTCCATTTTCAGGCCTGGGGAGCTCAAAAGTGACGACAGTTACAGGATTCCGATGACCCGCTCGGATTACCAACATGATCTGCGGGCCCCATAGGGAGGGGGCTCCCGCCTGAGACTTCCTCACAATTTACTCAACGATGATGAGGATGAGGATGATGAGTGGTGGTGAAGATGAGTGGTGAAGAGGATGATGATTGATTGTGAGTGGTGGTGGCGATGATGATGTTTGAATGAGGATGATGCCGATGCCGATGATGATGATGATGATGATGATGATGATGATGATGATGTTCATGAGCGTGTGAGAGAGTGCGAGTGATGATGATGATGAGTATGTGAGTGACTAAGCATGTGAGAGAGCATCATCGATGATGCTGATGAGGTTGATGATGAGAGAGTGTGAGTGAGTGTGAGTGGGTGTGTGTGTGTTCCTGTTCCTGCGCGGGGTGTCCAGAGAAAACAAGAACCCCACTTTGGATGTGGGGAACTAAGACAAGGAAAAGCGGTCTCATGGCATCAGCACAGGGAGAGAGGGAGATGCGAGGCGGCGGGCGAGGCTGGTCAGCCGGAGTGGCAGCGCCACCTCTTCTGTGGTGCTTTGACCAGCGCGCACGCCCGGGCCACGCTCGGACTAAACCCAATCCCCACTGCAGATCCACTGCGATTGTGGGGCATCGATGTCCGGATTACCCATGGCATCCGCGATGGTAGCAGCGGAGGAGACATGGGAGGCGGCGGGCGCGGCTGGTCAGCCAGAATGGCAGTGCCCCTTCTTCTTTGGGGCCTTGACCAATGCGCACGCTCGGGCCACGCTCGGACTAAGTATGGTTCCCACAAAACTGCTTGCTTATCGATGTGTGTATGAAGATGTGTATATATATATATACACATAATCCAAGATGGTCCCAAGATGGACACTTGGGCCCATCTCGGGGCCATCTTGGACCATCTTGGCGGCCTTCAGGGCCGTCTTCAGGCCGTTCCGAGGCCGTCCCGCGTCGTTTTGGAGCCGTCTTGGGAGTCTCTGGAGCGCTCTTGAAGCTATCATCGAGGCGTCTGGGGTTCCTCATGGAAGCATCTTGAGAGTTCGTTCGGATCTCGTGGCAAGTCTTTCGGGGGCTTCCTTGAAGCAGTTCCGAAGCCTCTTGGGGCCCGTTTCGGTCCCTGTTGGGGCCCGTTTTGGGGCCCCTCGGGGGTCTCTCGGAGGCATCTAGGAGGCCTTGGGGCCTCCCAGAAGCTTGTGGGGGCCTCCTGGGGGCCTCTTGGGGCCGAAGGCTCGAAAAACGCGGTAAGATCCCTCGTCCGGGCCCCTCCTTAAAATTGTTTTGGGGCCATCTTGGGCCGTTTTGGAAGCCTCTTGAGCCGTCTTGGGGCCCTGTTAGCCCATTTTGGGGCCGTCTTGGAGGCCTCTTCGGTCGTCTTGCAGCGTCGGGAAGCCGAACATGCGAGAACCCCAAAAACCTCCAATAACCATCGGAAAACAAAAACACTTGTTGTCCATTTCTGCCCTCTTAGGAAGGCTCTTCGAGGCTCGGGGCGTCTTGGAGGACTCTTGGGCCGTGTTGAGGCCATATTGGGTTTCTCGGCGCGATCTTTGGCCGCTCTTTTGGAGCATCTTGGGGGCCTAATGGGGCCGTCTTGGAATACTTTTGGGCGTGTTGAGGCCCCTTGGAGCGACCCACCCACGACCCACCCGGGACCCACCCGCGACCCGGCCCACGACTCACCCACAACGAAAAATCGGCACCTGCGGCAAGCTCGCTGCACAATTTCAAAAAATTGGGTCTGGGTGACGAAGGATCGGCGGCTCAAAGGCATCTGTAGGGGAACGAAGAATAACATACACATACAAACTCGGAGGTCCGCGCGGATTTCTCTGATCGGCGCCGCCGGGGGGCCGTTTGGGTAGCTCTTGGGTCCCGCTCGGGTGTGTCGTGGAGGCCTCGTGGGGCCTCTGGGGGTCTCCTTGGGGCTTGTCTGGCCTTCTTGGGGCCTTCTGGGGGCCTCTTGGGCCGAGTGCCCGAAAAGTCCGTTCGGATCCCCCGTCTTCTCTCTCTCTCTCTCTCTCTCTCTCTTTACAGCCGTCTTGGGGCGCTTTCGGGCCGTCTTGGAAGTTTCTTGGGCTGCCTTGGGGCTCGCGTGGGCCGTCTTGGGGCTGTTCTGGGATCCTCTTGGGCGGTCTAGGGGCGATCGTGGGGTCTCTTGGGCTGTCCAGGAGCGTCGGGAAGACGAAAACGCGAAGACCCCCAAAACCTAAGAATAAACCTTCAGAAACCAAGCATCTTTGCCTCTTTGAGCCCTCTTGGGGAGCCTCTTGGAAGCCTCTTAGGCCGTCTTGGAGTCGTCTTGGATTCGTCTTGGGCCGTCTGGGGACTATCTTGGGCGTCGTGCAACGAGCTTTGTGCGTATCGGGGCTTTTTTCGACGATCTTGGGAGCCTGGTAGGGCTGCTTGGAGGAATGGGACACCGTGAGGCTCCTTGGCGGCCCCGGGGAGGCGGTATCCAAAAAGGGGCCCAGATATTAGAGAGGTGGGCGGGGTCCTTTTTTGAGGGTCCAGTACGCATCCATTGTGTGTGTGTGTGAATGTGTGTGTGAATGTGTGTGTGAATGTGTGTGAATGTGTGTGAATGTGTGTGTGTGTGTCTGTGTGTCTGTGTGTCTGTGTGTCTGTGTGTCTGTGTGTGAGTTTGAGTGTGAGTGTGAGTGTGAATGTGAGTGTGAGTGTGAGTGTGAGTGTGAGTGTGAGTGCGAGTGTGAGTGTGAGTGTGAGTGTATGTGTGTGTGTATGCGTGTGTGTGCGTGTCGTCTTGGGTTCATTTTGGGCCACGTCGGGGCCATCTGGGCCGTTTTCGAGCGCCCTGGAGCCTCCCGCCCCCGCTCTGTGGTCCATCTTGGGCCTGCCCTGGGGCCTCTTGGGCCGTCTGGGACTCCTCTTGGGCAGTCCTCAGGCTCCCCGGGGCCGTCTCGGGGCTCTTTTGGGGGCGTCTTCGGCGGTCTTGGGGCGGTCGTGGGGGCGTCTTCGGCCGTCTTTGGAAGCTCGAGAACGCGAGGTAGGGAAAAACAATTAAAAACAATGCAAATTAATAATTTGGGTCTCTTTGGGCTCTCTCGGGACGTCTCTCGGAGCTCTCTTGGGGCCTCTTGGAGGCCTGTGCTTGCCGTCTTGAGCTCATCTTGGGCCACGTTGGGATCACCTTGGCCGTCCTGAAGCGCCTTGGGGCCTCCCGCTCCTGCTCTGGGGCCCATCTAGAGCCTCTTCTGGGCTGCTCTTGGGCATTCTTCAGGCTCTCCATGGCCGTCTTGGGGCTCTTTTTGGAGCCTCTTCGACGGTCTTGGCATGATCTTCGTGGCGTCTTCGGCCATCTTGGAGCGTTGGAAGCTCGAGAACGCGAGAGAGCGAAACATATCAAAAACAAACTACCGGAAATCAAGGATTTGGGCCTCTTCGGGCTCTCTCGGGACGCCTCTCGGAGCTCTCTTGGGGCCTCTAGGAGGGCTCTTGGGCTGTGTATTGGCCGTGTTGGGCCCATCTGGGGCCACTTGGGGGCCATCTGGGCCGTCTTGGAGCGCCTTGGGGCCTCCCGCTCTGTGGCCCAGCTTGAGTCCCGGGGCTCTCTTGAGCTGTCTGAGGCTCCTCTTGGGCAACTTTCGGGCTCCCTGGGGCCGTCTTGGGGCTCTGTTGGGGGACTCTTCGGCGGTCTTGGGGGCGTCGTCGGCCGTCGTGAAGCGTCGGAACGTCGAAAGCACGAGACACCGAACAGCAGTGGAAAAAAAACAATGGAAATCAAGGATTTGGGCCGCTTCGGGCTCGCTCGGGACGCCTCTCGGAGCTCTCTTGGGGCCTCTTGGAGGCGTCTTGGGCTGTGTATGTGCGGTCTGGAACCCATCTTGGGCCACGTTGGAGTTACGTGGGCTAACTTGGAGGGGCTGGTCGAAGTCCCCCGGGGGCCTCTGGGAGCTTCTGGGAGCTCTCTGAGGCAGTCTGGGAGCTCCAGGGCCGCTCAGGAGTGATCTGGGAGCGGTCTGGTAAACCTCCGGTCCTCCCATACCCCCCCGGGCCACGGGCCCGGGGCGCCCTGGCCTCGTGCACGTGTATATATATACACACATACATATATATATATATGTGTATATATATATGTACACATATATATATATATATATATATATATATATATGTATATGTATATGCATATAAATATATATGTGTGACTGTGTATATATATGTATATATACACATGTCGATATAAATATATACAAACATATGCCACGCGCGCTAAGGTTTTAGCGCAGGCCAGGGAAGCGTTACAGCACAATGGGAGCCTTTGCCTCTCCATTTTCGGAGACGAGGGCGGGAGAGGGAAAGGCGGAGGAATGATGAGATAAGGGGAAGGAGTCCGCCGACCCCCGCTTGCCGGGCGTGAAAAGGCGTGTGAGACATGTGGCTGTCCCCCTCCCCCTTCCCCCCTCCCCGAGGAACCCACAACTGGATTAGAGGGGAGGAGGGTGGGTGGGAGACCAGCTCCTCAACGCACCCCCCAGGCTTCCAGAGCCTCCAAAAAGCCTCAAGAGTCCCAAGAGAAGCCCAAACAGAGCGTCAACACAGCCCAAGAGAGCGTCGGAACGATAGTGAGATCGATAATGCGAACGACAGTGAGATCGATCGTGAGGCCGACAGTGTGATCGGTTGACAGAGATCGATTAAGTGGTACCGATAATGAAATCGATCGTGAGAGCGATCGTGAGATCGATTGTGTTCGATAATAAAATAATGAGATCGGCAGTGAGATCGATCGTGATACCGATCGTGTTATCGATTGAATAAGATGGATCGTGAGATAGGTGGTGGGACCGACGATAAAATCGAGATGGAGATCGATCGTGTAGTCGATCCCGTGATCGATTGTGAGATCGATAGTGACATGGATGGTGATCTATATATATATATATGTATATATACACACACTAGAACCATCGCGCGCGCTTCGCGCGCGCTCAGGTTCTAGCCCAGGCCGGGGGCGCTCTAGAAGATCTTGGACAGCGCTGTCAAGCACAGGTGCCTCCTGAGGGCCTCTTGGGAACCTCTTGGGTCATCGTGGGGGCATCTGGAGGGCTTCTGGGGGGTTCTCCGTGCTTCCTCAATTGGCTGTTGGAGGCACCTCTTGGGTGTTTCTCGGGGGGGCATCTTGGGGCTTCTTGGGGTCCCTTGGGGGCATCGTCAGGGTTCTCCAGGCAGTCGGAAAGTGATGTTGTGCAGTCTCTGCAGCAATCAATTGGCCGACTTGGCTGCGTGGAGGCCCGGCTTGAGGACACATTGGGGCAATCCGGAAGCCTCCCGGGGCCTCCTTGATGCAATTTTGATGCATCGAGAGCACTGTTCGGCTATATTGGGGCCGTTTGGGGCCTGGTGGGGGGCTTCGGGGGGCCTCGTCGGACCGCTTGGGGACTGTTGGGGCCTCCTGTGGGGCTCTTAGGGCGGAAAGCTCTGCTGTTGGGTTCGCGTTCCCCTTCTTGGGGCTCGCTTGGGGCCCTCTTGGGGCCCTGTCGGGCCGTCTTGGGCGCCTCGGGCACCGTCTTGGGGCCCGAAGTGGGCCGTCTTGGGGCCCTCTTGGAGGCCTCTTCGGCTATCTCGGAGCGGCCGTGGGGGCCACTTGGGCCGTCTTGGAGCGTCGGGATGCCCAAAGGCTGGGAACTCTAAAATCCATCAAAGGCCAGTGGGAAAACAACGCTTCTTGGAACCTCTTCGGGCTTCTGGGGAGCTTCTTGAGGACCTCTTGGGTCCCACTTGGGGGCCTCTGGGGCTTCCTGAGATCCTCTCGGGGTGAAGGCTCGGATGTT